TGGCCTCCATGCGTGTGTGCACAGACACACAGATGCCTGCACACACATATGTGTCCAAGCACATCTGAACCTGTATATGTGCATACACACCACACATACACACAACCAAAGGGGGTTGACATAAACAGCCATAACAGGAAGGAGGTCCTTTGAGATTAGTAAGTCTTATGACAAAGAAGCAAGTAACTAAATTGGAGTTCTATGTTGGTGTTTGAGCAGCACAGGTGTGGCTAAAATGAGCCTCACAAGCAACTGTGTTCTGTTGCTGCTTCTGTCTTCACCTGACAAAATATACACATCTTTGTTTGAGTGAATGAATGAATGAGTGAGCTGGAGACATTTGGAAGTGAGCTTGTTTTCCAGGAATATGTACCAACAGCTTAACTGGGGATAGCTTGAAAGTGGCAGTGTGAGGGAACAGCTGGATATGACAATTAGGAGGTAAGATATGCAAATCGTGCACTCACAGTGCATGTTTCTACTCTGAGCATTCAACTCAAGGAGCACGTGTGTCTGGAGTGTAGACCAGCATGGTATGAAACTGGTGCTTGTGTGTGTGCATACAGAAGCTGTTAGGGTTCTTGATGCATTTGGCTTATTCATGTGGAAATTTCCTTAAAGGGATGGGTTTTGCAAGCTTTGCAGAAAACTGAGTGCTTACATGAAAACCGTATTTTCTACTGATAGCATGTGCTTTGATTTGAAAAATAAATATGGCCTTCTACCCACAGGGTCTGCTTCCCATCTTTCCCTCAGACATTAAAGTGACTTGTAATTACCTCTCTTAAGCTGAATCCTGGAAGAATAACAGTGATTCACAAGCATGGTAAAGCACTGCTGAAACCCAGGGTGTATTTTACTGCTATTGTTTCCATACTCTTAAGATCAGACCTTCACTGGAAGCGACAGAATAGAAGAAATGATAGCACATTTCTAACTGACAGCAGCATTTTTTAGGAACTGTTAGGGAAGGAACTGGAAGCAAAATGGTTTTCAGAAATATAAAGATTCCAGTATAAATTCAATTTTTAAAATGCTTTTCACTCCAATAAACTCAAAGTCATGGTGCAAATGCTAGAGAGCTCTGTATGCCCATGTTGTTGATATAGCGGTGTTGTCTGCTATCCCCTAACTCCTTCTATGTCTTCAATTCTAAAGACATTTAATTTCACCCACTTTTCTGCAAGACTCTCTCACCCACGCCTCCCTGGGGCTAACTCTACTCAAGTGCATTATGGGAAGCCTTTACCTCTGGAAGCATCAGATACCAACTGTTTCTTCAGGGAAAAATGAGAAACTTGATGTAGGTTTCCCTGTTGGAATGCCAAAGTTTGTGAGTTTCCTATACATATTTCTGATACATTTCCTGTTTAGTTTAGAGTTTTCAATTACAAAAATGAAAAAGTCAAAAGTGCAGAATAAAGGTCTCTTCAGTGGTCTCCTCCAATGCTCCTTCTAGTGCCCCAGAAGTAAGAAAGGCTAAGGAAGCAGTGTGTTAGTACTTAATTTGAACACTGGGAACAAGAACTGTGATTCTGCCTGTGAAAGCAATGTTAGACCACTGTAAAGTAATCCAAACAGCCTATGGGAATGCAGCCTTTTCTCTGTGTGTGTACCCTTTGGAGGTTGTAAACTCATGATTCCAGGCTTCTGTACAGCCCATAGATATATTTTGTTTGGCTTATCCACTATTTTAAAAATATATTAATTAATCAGCTTAATGTTTTAAAAATTAGAATATTTCTTGATCAAATCTGGGGTCTGGTGAACTTGAGTAGAGGATCACCCAATACATCCCATCGGACAGCAGTTGGCTAGAGCTGAACAGTAGTGGCCCCCTAATGACACGGCCATTTGTCACCCCCCCCCACATTGTTCTCAGTTGTCTCACACATAGCCAGCTGTGCTCACTTGCATCACCAGCCTGTTCCTATGGATATTTGGGTTTGAACTCCTACTGAGAATCAGATTTGAGAACTAAATATGGCAACCATATTATTAATTGTCCAAGAGAGGATGTTTTTGCAAGTAAAAATCAATGCCTGTTAATAATTACATCAAGGCCATGGGCATAAGTCAGGACTCTCTCAGAAAAAAAACCCCGAGATATATGTGCACCATTTTGTCCCAGTCCTTCAACTACTATGAGAAAACTGAGCCAGGAAAGAGAGGGAAGTGGTTACCAAGTAAATCAATGGCAAAGCATCTCCAGCCACTTTGACTCCTATTCCGGTATTTTTTCTGACATAACAACTGGAGTAAGTATGGCAACCAAATCCTCTTTGGCCATATGAATGTTTTATAGTTGATAGCTATCATAGCCAGATGTGGTGGCCACACAGTTGTAATCTAATCACTCAAAAGGCAGAGGCAGGAGGATTGTAAGTTGCAAGCTAGGCTGGGCTACAAAGCAAGACTCTGTCTCAGGAAACCCAAAATATATGAACGAATAAATAAATAAATAAAATTATACATGCATATGTATGTATATATACACCTATTTAACATCTATAAATCATATTACTAATATAATGAAACAGCCTACAAATTGGTAGCTTACAGAAAGAATAAATACGATCCATAGCATACCTGGAGATGCTTTAAACACTGATAGACTTGAGATCTGCAGGGTAAACACAAGTTTCTCATTTAACTAGATACAAGATACACACACACACACACACACACACATACACACACACACACTCACACACCAATTGTCTGGGGAGGAAAACATAACAAAAACTATCATTAAGCATCTGATAATTGTTTTGTTAACAAAACTTGTATATTTCTCTCTTGATCATTGCCTATTGTATGGTAATGAATACTAAGTATGTGTGAAAGAGATGTCTAAGATCCAAATTTCTCAAATCCTTGACCATCTGTTTATTTCCCTTGTTGAGCTTCCAAGGCATATTTTTAGAGAACATTCCGGATGAGACCAGTGTGTGATTTTAATCACTTGCTCAGATTTTGGTCCCAAACTCCATCTCATCCCTTACCTAGGGAGTTATATAATCCTTAGGGGCACTTCTTAGTGCTTTGTGAAGGCATGGGCCAAAGTCTAGCATGAGAACTCCCTATCAAGACACCTTTCTTAATTCCCATTTGGCTCTCCTTCTAAGAGACCTTGCAAGCCTCAGAGCCATCTTCCCATGCCAACTGTACAAAGATGGAGGAGGTTCAGGAAGAGAGTTCTTCTTGTCTCTGGCCTAAAGCATCAGCCAATGAGAATATTGCATTGGAATATGCATGCACTTTTCCAAATGTGAACCTGTCTTCCTTGCAGGAGGCTTGACCAGGATGCATATTACCATAGTACCCTCCTGCTACTATGGAGAGTCAAGGGAACAGAGCAAGCAGATTGCTTTCTCCAGCTGCTGGATCCTTCCCTAGTGTCCCAGGGATGACTTTCCCCCTTTGATCTTTGTCACAGCTGCTTTTTGATGGACTTCCTTATAAAAGAAGGAAGTCAATGACTTCTAGATTCAAAATGTAAACCACACATTTGGTTTTCTATACTTGATCTTAGCTAAAAGGCTGGGAAGCAGTACAGTTGTTTCTCAATGAGCAAAATACATGGGCACAAGTTATGTTTTTGTATGGAAATAGGACTGTGGATAGAAGGATGGAAATGTATAGTGTGCAGTGTGTGTGTGTGTGTGTGTGTGTGTGTGTGTGTGTGTGTGTGTGTGTGTATGTAACTGTGTGTGTTCAATCTGGACTAGTGGTATTTCTAACTATACTTCTTGTTGCATCTAGTTAAATGAAAAGATTCATTTGTGTATATCATTTAGAATTCAAGACTGCCAATGTTTTAAACATTTCTAGATATGTTGTAGTCCAAGACATTAATTACATTCATAATCGAAAGTCATTCGTATAAGCTACAACCCTGCAGACCCATAAAGTATGATGTTCAACAGTTACCTGAGGTTATTGAGCCCTTGAAATGACAATATGTTGAGGATACTGGTGTAAGTAAAAAAAAAAAAAAAAAAAAAAAAAAAAAGGTAGTGAGTTGATTGTTTCTGTTTGTTTGTACATTCTTAATGTGGTTGCTAGAAAAGCTAAAATGTTGTTGGCATCATCCTGTCATTGAACAGTGCTCTTCTGGAGATGAAGGATTTGGTTGTATGCTTTAAATGTATCACAGTGGCCTTTTACCATCACAAGTCAGAGGCAAAAGAAGTTTGCTAATAAGGTGAAAACATGCAGCGTAGCTTCTATAAGGCAGGTTAGCCTCCTCCCTCACACCTTCTAGCATCTTATTTCCTGTACAGCTCATTGCTTCACAGAGCCCCTGAGAAGCACCTGTTCTGACACCAGCTTTGAAGTGTCTATGCAATATCACACAGAAGGCACTTGGGTACATACAACGCCAGCTGTGGGCGCCATATGGAAAAACCATACCATATACATATGTACAGAGTATTTCTGAAGCCAGAAGGAGGGTAGAGGAGTGTGGAACCAGTCTAGCGTTATCTCTTCATTGCCTTTGAACATTTTAATCATTGAAATATCTTTAAGCCATAAATAGAACCAAATATGTACTTTTGTTTTTATGTGGACATGGGGCTGTGTATGGATTGTATGAAAATGTAGATGGAATGTTTCGATACAGATGGGTTTGATTTGCTACTGAAGTGTGTGGAAAAGGCTGTGTGAATGCATGGAGATGGAGATGGTGTGTGTCAGTCTGCTCAAGCAGGGTTTCTTATATGGAGGCAGAGATGCCCTCCTCCCATAAACTGTCAGAGATAAGGTTCCTTTTCTGCTTCCTCCTAGGCTGGGTGCACCCTTCCTTTGGATGGCTGCCAGAAATGCTGACTATAGTCATCCCCTTTGACTGAACCCTGCCCTAATGCACCTTTTCTATCACAGAGCATATAGAGCAATGGCCCCATGAGGTCATGGCACTGGTGGGTTCCAGGAATTGGGCTGCATTTTCTTTGGAGTAACCTCTTTCCTTCTTCTTTTCTGTCTACTTCTTCTAGGCAGGACAGGGCTGCTTGCTGATCTCTTGCCCAGTTTTGCTGTGGAGATTATGCCAGGTATTCAATCATTTAACTCTTTGTTTGCTATCACTCCATCTGCCTGCTTCTGCATTAGTCACTAATCATTGTTTGATTTTGGGGGGGAATACATTTATCTGTATAATGTCTGTTGTCTTTTTCCAGGATGAACTAAGCTCCTTGGATAAGTCTTTTGTATTCCTTCTGTCCTAGCCCCTAAAAGAATAATGGGAATTAAGAATAAGTGGAGACAGGGACCCAGACCCTCTGTGTCAGGCATGCAACATCATTGGTTATCTTGAGACCCATCTCAGTATTTCACCCGTGCCCAGATAGTTATGTGTCCTTAAGTATTATTTATTTATGTTCCTAAATTATTTACTTACCCATTCACTGTTGTGCAATCATGTTACACGGAAGTGCCTTTTGGATATGTCCTCCTTCTTCCTGCCAAAGCAAGCATGCATCCACAGACCTGTATTACTTTTATATTTAAACACTGGAAATACTTAGGCATCCACAGACCATATGTCAAGACCACTTGCCCCAAATACATATATACATCTTTTCATATAGCTTTGGGTGAAGGCGCCAGCCATACAAACCAGTCTGATGCTGCACTGTAGCTTGTAACTGAAGGAGGTTCAGGGAGAGCTAAAAATGAACTATAGAAAGGTTTGTACCCTTAGCCTTGATTTCTGCCAGATCTTTAAGGTCTTCCTAATAGCAACAGAGAGATATAAAATATCCCTGGCCATTGGTTTTGGCTTGATTGAATTTTAAGAAATGTCCAGAGACTTCAAAGCACATTCTCATTGTTTTCTATTAATTCATCCAGCCCTTTACCTTTAGCTGGCCAACAAATCTCAAGACTTTTTCCTTGTTGATGTTGCCCTCAAGGACACAGAGAGATACTCTTTGTAACCACCCTTATCAAAAGTTCCCTCAATTTGTAAGCATGTATTTACACAGATAAAAATGTTGCATGTAATGTTTCAATGTAAAAGATTTTCTGTATTTTACATCCAGTCCTGTTCACGTCAGTTTCCTTCTGGTTGACTCCAAGAACACTCTCACTGATTTATTTATTTACCTATTCATTTATTGAGATGGGCTCTTGCTGCTATAGGCTTGGCTCATCAGGTATCTACTGTGTGTCTCAGGCTAGCCTTTAATTCGTATTAATCATCTTTCATCAGCCTTCCAAGTGTCGGGATTATAGGCATGCTCTACCAAACCAGGCTCAGATAGCATTCCTTTGTTTCTGAAATATAACCTGCTGGCCTTTTATCCTTAACTGCTTCTATTCCCTGCAGTTGACCTAAATCACCTGAGAGATAAACACCCACCTTCTTAAGTTACATTGCTTATAAGGCCCTGTCTGAAGCCTCATGTTATCTGTTATCCTCAGCAAGAACATTCTCCACACAGTTGAAGTCAGACACAAAGCCTTCTCAGTCCATAGCTGAATCAAACTTAGCCTGGACTTTCTGATGGATAAGTGGGGGACACTCAGAAAACATGAGCTGTTGGTTTTCTCTCTGAGGAGGTGATGTCCCAACCAAAGGTCAAATGATTCAACCACTGTCATAAAAGTCTTTACATGTAAAAGTCACATTCTCAAGTTCCCAAATGAACAATTCATTTAATGGAAGGGATAGTTAATAACCCACTTTAATGAAGACATTGTATACCAAAATTCATTATAAAGGGATTTTGGATGGATGGCTTTCAGTCATTTAGGTCTAAAAGACCTAAATGCTAAAAGCTTTTAAAGAAAAGCATGGGTCACACCAGTTTGTCCGGATCTCCAGGGACAAGGTGGACTCTTCCCAAGCCGAATAGCATAACATTGAGACAAGTCACCTGAGAGTAACAGTCACTTTTATGTAAGCCAGATAGAATTCACTTCCTTTTAAATCTTTTGGATGAGCAAATTAAAGAAAATTCATGTTCAGCCTCAGACAGAGCTGTGGAAATTATAGAAGTTGACAAACACATTAGCTGTGTATCAGCTTTGCCATTCATCTGCACCCTAAGCCACTTAATTCTTGGCTATGCTGGCTGGCTGGCATAGTTATCTTGAGTGTGATCAAACCAAACCCATACCTTGGGGATGGGAGTTGTGTCTTCCTATCTAAAACTATAACCCCCCCCCCACACTCTTTCTCATTAACTGTGGATCGATATTGAGGTACAAGAGATTTGGATCTCTGCCCTGGTGTTAGTGACAGGAAAGGTGTCCCAGGGAAACAGATGAATACACACTGAACCTGGACCACATAAAGATGATCTACCCAGGCCATGGAGGCCCATAGCCTCCCTGCCCCTCAAGACTTAGATTTACAGATTTTGTTTGTTTGAGGTCTCACATTGTAGTGCAGGCTGATTTTATTTTTCTGTCTCAGCCTTCTGAATGCTGAACTATAAGCATCATGTAAGGCAAGAACGTTTAGCTTGTAAACAAAACTTATAAAAGATAAGCATTTACAGACTCCACCAGTTAGGAGCTCATCACATGAGACCCCATCCCCAGCTTTTGTCCCACCTTTATTCAGTCAGTGGTTGAACCTTTTTCTCCAGTCAGGAACCCCAAAATCTCCAGTCTCAGGCTGGCTACAAGGTGTGCCTCAAGAGATACAGGTCACCTGACTCTCTTTTCTCTGTGCTAGGGCATTTCTCACTGTGAGTTCTTTGTGAGTCTGGGGCCCCTCCATCCTGGTTAGATGTCCTTTCTTCCCCAGGTCCTTTCCACTCACCTCTTTTGCAGGGAGACACCCATCTGTGTATGCCGTGGCCTGAAAGGGGGCTACCTCGAGCAGATTTCTTTGTGCATCCTTCCAGAGTGGGTGTTTGTCGGCCTGGTGATCCTGGGGATCTTCCTCTTCTTCGTGCTGGTGGGGATCTGCTGGTGTCAATGCTGCCCTCACAGCTGCTGCTGCTATGTCCGATGCCCGTGCTGCCCAGATTCCTGCTGCTGCCCTCAGGCCTGTGAGTATGGATCTGTGGGGAGATGTGGAGTGATCGGAAGAAATGTCATCTCTCCATCTGACAGCCGTGTACCCCGAGTTCCTCCTCTGCCTCTTGCCTCTGGGTTCACGGAAGACCATTCTTGTTTCCCTGCTCGCCTCCATGCATATCTGCATGCTGTTTATCCATACCTATCATGCATTCCTAATGCTCATGGACACTGTAGACTAAAGGAAGGGCAGGATCAGAATGGTTGAACTGTGGGGTTAAGCTGCACCCCATCCACAGAGCGTGCAAGCAGAGAAAACCTGCACTGGTTCTTCTCCTTTGATGTGGGGAACACCCTCTTTTTATAAGTAGAGTGTAAAAACTGACTTTTGGGTACCATCCGGTAGGCGCCCACATGTTTCCTTTACTCATATGATGAAAATGGCACAATAGAGACCAGTTCTCATTTGAAGATTCACAGGTTTAGCCTACTAGCCAAGCCCATGAAGGCATTGAGTTTGACATCCAACCATAAACTAAATTAAATACATCTTGAAAGAGAGGTATACTCCATGAAACAGTGTTGGAAAGAATTCAGTTACTGACTTTGCTTTTGCAAACACAGACGGGGTCATGTACAAACACAGTGTTCTTTGTTCCCCCTGGAAGCATCCCTGAATGACCCTTTGCTAGCCCCCTCTGGAGGGACCGTGGTAGCTTATCTTATAGACAGGATGGTTCCAAGTGGGGATGCTGCTGTGACGGCTCTGAGATCCATTTCAGGGTTGCTCAGTTGCCATATTCTAAACACTGTAGTTCTTCATCTTTCTGCCCTTTTCATGGAGCCAGAGGAATCCAAGGGAAAATGGTTTTGGTGAGTCTAGTGAACTAGTTCAGTCTTGGAAGAATGAATTTTCACTGTCTAGGCACACCTTTCAAAGAACCTCAGGGATTTGGGATATTGAGGGTTGTGGAGGGTGGGACTACATAATTTCTCTTGCTCTTCATCTCCCTCCGCAGTGTATGAAGCAGGGAAAGCTGCCAAGTCCGGGTACCCTCCCTCTGTCTCCGGTGTCCCAGGCCCTTACTCCATCCCCTCTGTCCCTTTGGGAGGAGCCCCCTCTTCTGGCATGCTGATGGACAAGCCGCATCCACCTCCCTTGGCACCAAGTGACCCCACTGGAGGAAGCCACAGTGGTAAATGTAGTTCCAGACTGCCCTACCCCATGCTTGGCTTGGGCCCCTCCCTCATTCCTTGCTGATAGGCACAGTCAGTTCTTCGGTGATTGTAGCCTTGGGAAACAGTGATCTCCATTCCAAATATAGGACCCTTCCAGCTGAGGCAGGTGTCTTTTGGAGTGCATATCAGGGTTTCCAAGGGCTACAGGACAGACCTCTGACCCCCACTTTCATTTTTAACTGAAACTACAACGGAAAGGAGTTTGCTACTTAAACTGTGGTCACGTGGTTAAATAGTGACCTCATCCCCCTTGGTTCAGGTGTATACTAGGCACTGTGAGGGACAGCAGACTGTAGAATATAGCTTATCAAATGAGGGAAAGTGCTATTATTAAGGCAATTAGATGCTAAAGAACATGGTTCTCAGAGTCCAAAGATGAAGGAGCTGGAGCTATTACAGTCTTCATGGAGGAGATGAAGTTCTGAATTGGGCCAAGAAGGAGGAGGAAGATTCAGGAAAACTGTGGGGCTGCTGAGGAGGAAGGTTGGTTGGTAGTACAGTCAAACCCCAGAGCACAGATGTGAACATGCCCGTGTCTTGCTGGTCGGGCTGCCTGGAAGAAGATAGAAGGATTCAATGGCAATTAGAGAAGGCCGTGATAACCTCTCTGAAAGAGCTGGGGCTTAGTGAGGCAAACAAGTGAGAACCACCATGGCAGATTGCTAAGTGGAGAGATAGCAGGTGGTAAGGTGGGAGAGAGGAGCTCAGAGGCAGAGAACAAAGCTCTGGCTACAGTGTGCAGGTATGTTATATGAGCATCTGGTTTATGTTGGAGACAGTGGGAGTTAAATGCCAAGTTAAATCTGAGAAATATTTTGAAAGAAATGAGATGGCAAGCAACGAGCAACGAAGCAAAGGAAGACTTCAGGATGAGCCCAAGTTGCCAGACATTAGATGACTGACAAAGAGGGCTGATTAGAGGGGCAATCAGCTTTATTCAGGGTAAGATGAGTCTGTGCAAGTAGAAGCCAAGGTGAAAAGTGTGTGTGTGTGGGGGGGGGTAGAGAGATGTTGAAACACAGCTTTCCTGGAGGCCTTTGAACAGGATTGCAAGCTATGAAGGTTAACACTGTAAGCATTGTTGATTTAAATGACTTCAATCTGTATATGTGGGAGGTGAGATGGGGTACCCAGCTCATGTAATGAACCCCCAATACTTGGCTGTGGCAGGAGTGGATATCCTCAGTGAGTACTTGGTATTTATGTTTATCTCTTCCCTGGAACTATTAGTAGAATTCTGACGTCTGAGGCTGAAAATGAGTCACAAACTGAGAAGGAAAAGCTAATGATAAAGGATGTGCAGGGAAAGCAAGAGATAAGGGAAGCATAGTCCATTTCCCTGAAGGAAGGAGTGGGCAAAAGAAACCCAGTGGAACTTCACACATGCTTTCAGTTGCTAGTTTCTCTTTGTGCCCCTGTTTCTTTTTCCTGTCTGACCAGAACTCCTTCGCCTTACTCTTTATTTAATGGATTAGCACAATAAAATAAGTTTTATTAATAAACTAGCAAGTATTAAAGTATTCCCCCCACTTTTGAGACAGGGACTCAGGGGCTCACTGTGTAGCTCTGGGTAGCCTGGAACTTGCTATGTAGATCAGGCTGGCCTTCATCTTTTCTCCATTACTGCTTGCTGTAGTTTTAATTATTTGTCCCCTTATATTAACCAGCTGAAATTAGAAGCAGGAAAATGAATTGACACACATCCCAGGGCACTGTAGTTGCTGATTTGGCTGCTCACAGTTGGTGGCATTCATGCAGGATAGAGTTCAGTCTTTCATGGTGTCCTCTTTAGCACAGGCTTTGTCCCTATTGGGTGGCTCCCTTGATGACAGCAGTAGTTCTGGGCATTAGATAACTTTGGAGAGATAAAAAGGTGTGTTTTTTCTTTGTGCCACTTTCCTCAAAGTGAGAAAATGTTTCCCAGGAACTCTTCCCTCTTCTAGAAAGCCCTTTTCCAGCAGTTTCATATGAAAACAAATTGACACATGCCCATTCCTAAGCCAGATGTGCTTGAGCTCACAAAGACCCACCTGTCAGGCCTAAACAACTATCTGTTTTGGAAGTGAGAAAATTCAGACTCCATTCTGTTATCTAGGAAACAGAGGAAAGGTGGCAACCAACACTGACCAGAGCTAGTCAGAAACCATGTTTCTGGCACATCATGGCATATGTGTATTGTGGCATCTGGACAGAGTTCTTTATAGTTCCCAGGAGCACGTTCCTAAAGTCATGGGCAGCATTAGTGATGATGTTTGGGCAGTTTCCATTGAATGAAGGTAGATTGGGCCAATATAGATTATTCTTTAAGGAACACTAAAAATGTTAATAAATGTCAATTTATAAAGTTATGAATTCCACCTTTATATATCTATATGCTGCTTCATACATATTACTGTAATCATCTAGCCACAGTAATTTTCAGGTTGTATTTGTACAAAACACTTTTTTGAACATTAGTTAGGAAAGGCATCTGTGATGAGATATGTAAAAAAGAGTCTGTTAGTTACCAAATGGGAGAAGATAAAGGGGTACCCTGATTCGTTTTTCCATCATTTATAGGGCTACTCAAGCCCTTCTCTGTTACCATGACAAAAAAAAAATGGGCTTCTCCTGGGCTCTGGATCCATCTCCTTTGAGTCTATGCTGAATATCCATACTTCATTCGTTTTCCAACTCACAGCCCTAACCTTCTGTCTTAGTGACCCTTTCCTTTTAGCACTCAGAACACGGTCAGAACTCTCCCATTGAAATGCAGCCATTTTAGTAGGACACCCTGGTTTTGCTTCTCCATTTGGTCTCTGCTCCTTGCAGCCAAACTTCTTGAATGTGCTTTTAACTCAACTAATTGCCGTCTCACTCCTACCAATTGCCTGATTGCTAAACCTGATGCTACATCACAATCCTTGACTTCTCTAAAATGCTGGCTATCCCTAACCCAATCATTCTTCCTTGCTTGTTTCCCTAGCTGTTCTGCCCTATGCTGCTTTCTCCCTGTGTACATCTTCCCGACATTGGTGTTCCTGCTTTGTCTGTGGTCTGCTGTCCATTCTCTGGCAAATCCTATCTACTCTTATGGCTTCATCCATCATCCATATGCTGATGCTTCCCAGGCATGATTTGTTCTGACTTCTCTTCTGCTGCTAAGTACCATATAGCCAACTGTTTCTAAATATCCCCAGCTGGATGTCTTACAGGCATTTAAACCTTAGCCTCTAGGAATCCAGTCTACTGTTTCCAAAAATATTTTTTGCTTTCTGCTTCAAACTGGAGTCTATATAACTTATTTTAGTGGGTGGCATCGTTGCCTGCCTAGCAGCTCAAGTCAGAAGCAGGAATGCCACTCTTCTCCCTTATTCTTCACTTCTTTTGTCTATTGGTCACCAAGGCCTTTAGATTATACTTTAGCCTTGAACTGTTTTTGTTTTCCTCCATCTCTGCTGTAACTATCTCAGTCCTTACTGCATGACCTTGCTTAGGGAAACTGGCTTCTACCCCTACTGTTTGTTGCCTTGCTTTAGTCCATTTTATCTCAATATACCTGGACTGCATTCACCATTCTGGCAGAAAGTAGACGAGTAGACTTTCGAAATGTCACTTTACAATTAATGGAGATGTGTGCATATATATATATATATATAATATATATATATATATAATATATATATATATATATTGTATATATATACTCCATTGTATGTACACAGAATATACAAATTTTAAGAATAATTTCTCCCACAATTGAGCTGCTGTCACCTTGGGGGTGGAATTTGGCAGTTGTTCCCTCATCCACAAACAGCCTTACTGAGCTCATTAGGATAGACAGGAAGAAGACATGGAAGTACACTGTGGAGATAGCTTGTGCAGGTTTTCTAAGTTGGATTTTGGCTATAAATGGGGAAGTTGATTGAAAAATAACACAGTTTTATTTAGGTCAAAATAATAATAAGTTTTTTTGTTTTTGTTTATTTCTTTGTTTGTTTAGATTATATACTGGGAGTTTTCCATGTTCTATCTCTAGTAAAGTTAAAGTTAGAAGACAAATAAGAGAGGGGCTGAAGTATGAAGAACCATGCAAACCAAAGGACTTGGACCAGGCTGAACTGGAAAACAGAATAAATCACCAGTGACCCTGAGCTGAAACATCTCTAGGGAAAGCCATTTTCCAAATATGCTGGACTTTGGCCCACAGTCTAGGACATTTCTTGCTAAAATATCACCACACTTCAAACAGATTTCTTGCCTTTAAATTATAGACAAAAACCAACCTGACACCATTTCATGTGGGTTTTTGGTTGGTTGGTTTGGGGCATCATATATACATACATACATACATACATGCATGCATACTCTTACTCTATAAAAAGTATAAAATATAGTATATTAAGTAAATATATTTTTTTCTCTATAAGACCTTGGATGCCTTCAAATGTGTTATTTAGTTCAGGCTAGCTCCAACTCAGGGCAATCCTGTGGCCTCGGTTTCACATATTCTGGGATCATAGGCATGTGTCCCACATGTGACTCTACGTGTTTTCAAATCAGGGGATAATTTGTAACTGGGACTGGTGGCACACACTTACAACCCCACCACTCAGGAGATATAGGCAAGAAGAACCACAAATTTGAGACCAACCTGGACTGCATAGCGAGTTCAAAGCCCACCATCTCAAAAAATTTACAAATTTCCCCTGCTCTCAAAGAAATTAGAAAGTTATAGCCTAACAACATGGTTGCTGGAGGCTTGGTGATGGAAATGAAATGGGTAAGAAATACAGAACAGTATATAGAAAGACTGTAATGCAGTCAGAAAGCAAATCATGCTGTTGGAGAGGATCAGAAAAGGTTCTCTGGTGATTCATAGCTCTTGAGCACATATGTGACACAGAGCCAGATTCTATGGAAATGAGGGAAGAATTTAGTGTGCCATACAATCAAACTTGCAGCTTATAATCTTATATAAAAATACCCACACCCTTTAAAGAGAGAATTGTCTTGATTTTTAGCAACTAAAACCAAACGGATGGTGCTTCTAAAGTCTGACGAGCAGTAGTTAGCCTCTGGTTTTGACAAATTAGAAGAACTGAAATCTGAAGGCTCCGGGCTGCTGTGATGGAGAAGTCAAAGCGGAAGTATTCTGCTGCAGTGAATTCTGCTGCATCTCTTTATGATGCAATATTGAAAGCTCAAACTATCGTCTTCCCCCAAGGCTATAGTTATTGTAACTTCTCAGAGACTGATAACTCATGTGCACAATCTAATCTGTATCATAATGAGCAGTGCAACTTTTTCTAATGACACCAAAGACAATCTAAGCTCTAGTCCAAGTTCCTCCAGCTGTTGCTAAGCATAGCTGTTCTCTGTCTCTGTCTTTTTCTCTCTGCCTGTCTCTCTCTCTCTCCCTCCTCTCTGTTGGGGGACAGCTGGTACCTAAGTTACAAATAGCAACAGCCCTCCATAATTGGTGGCCTTTATTTTGGTGACAATGAAGATTTGCCATAAAAGTGCTTCCCATATGAAGAAGACGTGGGCAGAGCCAGGGCTGCAGGTAGCGCGAACCCCTTCCTAATGCCCACAGCCATGCTGATGTTCTTTCTTTAGAAAATGATCATCAGTAATGAGAACCACAAAACCTTCTTGCTGCCTTGGGCTACCATTCAAGCTCTTCCCTTCATGGAAAATTCTCCAGTAAATCACCCACATATCTTCCTATGCCACACTTTGTAACCCACAAAATCTACTTGCTAGTCCCAGTTTATTCATGCCTTCATTCATTCATTTGAATGTGCATGCTTTGAGTGTCTAAAATGTGCCAGGCTCTGTGCTAGATGCTGGAGATACATAGGTGACCAGAGAAATCCAGTGATTGTCTTCTGGGAGGTTATGACCTCTGGATTAATGCTTACAAAGAATACACTTTCCAAAGAAGACATGAACCCTTTCCATTCCTAGGCTGGTAATAATTCAACATTTAGTACTCTATATATGTAAAACACAGTCTTAGGCACATGTAAATCTTAAATCATAACACCTTCAGAAATTTTTAAGAATATTATACTTATCTATATAAAGAATATGGAATGAATTAGAATATATTAAGGCCTATAATACAAATTCAAATCAAATGATTTTTAAGTTAGGAAAAAGACTGAAACATAAAGAGGGAGAATTATAAGAACCAAAGGAAACTCTTCAGATGAGGTGGCATTTAAGATACCCCGATTCATTACAGAGCACCCAAGTGCTCCACTAATTAGCTTTTAGTTGTCTTCTCTTGAAGACCTGATGGGTCTTCATTCTCTGGAGGTCCCTCAGTAAACCAGTGTCAGCATGCCTGTAAGATGACTAGACCCCTGTTTTTCAGCCCTGCACCTCATCCATCAGACATAACTGCCTTGGTACAGACATAACAGTTCTGTGGGATAATTGCATTTTAATTGAACAGTCTGTACTTCTCTGTAAACGCCTCTGCAGAAATGGAAGAGTGTGTTTGGCTTGATAAATAAAATCATTTATGCTAGAAATTCCTTCTGCATAGGGCTTATGAACGTACCTCACCTTGCCACTGCAAATATGTGCTGAGGACTTATTAATCGTTTTCTAAGTCATTTTACAATTTGAGATGGACATGGCCTGCCCAGTGTTTTCTCACACAGAAAAATCTGTGCACCTGCAAATGGGTGTGTGGGTGGCCTTCTTCTTCAGTGCCTGGGTTGTGATTGGAGCCCTGTAGAATTTTATATTTTAATTTTCCATGTAAATAGCTGGAGGGGGGTGGGCTTTGTCCACAGAGTAATGCATCCAGAGACATAAAGCATCACTTTTATTGGATGTATACACATTTCTGTGGTTTCCTTATTTTTGTTATGTGCACCCACTTTGGGAACCAGGAATGTTGGTTTGCTACCATTTTACATTCCTACTGGCTAGAAGGTAGGGCCGTACTTCAGACCGTACACTCTCTGGGATACCCAAGACTGGGATACCCAAGACTGCTGCCCACTTTGGGTTTTACTATCTTGTCTTCTTCATCTGTCCCTTTGAAAACAAACAAAACCGAACCCTGTATCTCCTTCTATACTTTAGAGAGCTATGATGCTCTAATCCAGTTAAGCTTCAGTCAATGAGACCACATGATTCCATGCCTGGTGCTGCCTAGCCAAATATTTCTGGTCTTGTTCCAAAATCCTCCTTAGCCAAAGTTTTTCAACCACAAAATGTGACTGACAGCAGTCCTTACGTGCATGGCTGTGAGGAATAAACATGCTTGTAAACATTCAGCATCGTGCCTGGCAGATTGTCAGTGTCCAGTAAGTAATGTCTATTGTCCCCAGTGTCCCTTTCTCATCTTCATTTCCCCCACCGCCATCTGTCCATTGTGCCTCTTGTTGTCCTATCACCTTTTGGGCTGATGTGGGGATAGACTAAGGGATATGGGGCGTGAACAGCCTTTGTCTCTGACAATGTGAGTGATGGAGATGGTATTATTTCCTCTGATTTAGTTTTGTTTTTTATTAAGCTCTGAAAATAACACCTGTCTCTAACCACAAAGCAGCAGGTTGAATTAAATTAGTCACATCTAAAATATGGCACTCCTTTTCCTAAAAGGAAAATGCTAAGGAAATAAAATGGAAGTGTGATTAGAAATCCATGTGTTGTGCAGCTTGCTTTATGCTACAGTGTATGTAGTCTAGAATCTAATATTAGCTCTCAGGCATGCACCACCCAGCTTAAGGGATTTTTTCCCATCTCCCAGGCAACTAGAAGCTTTCAGTCTGCCTTTGTGAAGGTCTGTGATGCTTGGGAATCTGCCTTAAAGTTATGTGCACTTCTACCAAGTGACAGTGTGACCCTCATGCTGGAGAGTAACATGTGCTCTAAACTGGAAAAGGGATATTTTTCTCTTTTTTTAGTGTGGGCTTACTCCTCCAGTGGAATTCAGAAGCTATGCAGAGGTGAGCCCTCAGTATAGCTGTAGGAGGTCAGGCCACTGGAAGGAAAGTGTAACAACTGACTAAGAGGACACTGTATGGGGTTTGGTTGTTGAGTTCCAGGTCCTGCGTTCCAGTGACACCTTCTGGTAGACCTCTCAAGTGTGCCTTCCTTGTACAAATTGTAGTTTATCATTTCTGGGTGATTCCAAAAGCGTTGTTCTAATTGTGAACCATGTTTTCTGCTTGGTGAGATGAATGGAGACCCCCCCTTTCTTGCTGTTCTGTTTTAGCTCACTGTCCTGTGCTTCCCTCAACAGTTCGCAAAGGTTACCGGATCCAAGCTGACAAAGAGAGAGACTCCATGAAGGTCCTGTACTATGTCGAGAAGGAGCTGGCTCAGTTTGACCCAGCCAGAAGGATGAGAGGCAGATGTGAGCATCTGTTAGCTTCATGTGGCCTGTGCTTCATTCAGGATTTGGTAGCTAAAGAGGACATGGGGGCCACCAGATTTGAAGCTCTGTGACACCACCACAGAAAATACCTCTACGTACACAAAAGGGAATAGGAGGGCTTCTGTGGGAAGGATGGGACAGTCACATGTGGTTCATGTTGTGTGTTGATTGCTGTGCTTTTGTGACCCTGGGTTTAAAGTGCTTTGTTAGAATAGTCCCCCTTACAGCCCCCTTTAAGTAATACTGAAAATGGTCACTTAAGATAAGGGATGGCTCAGTCAGTGAACTCATTGCTTGAGCAAGTGTGAGGACCCATGCTCAGATTTCCAGCACCCATGTCAAAAAGCTGAGTAAACAGATCACATCTATAACCCTAACCCCAAGCTGGCAGAGACAAGCCAATCCCTGGAGCTCAATGGGCACCCATTCTAGCCAGTCACTGAACTCCAGGTTCAGTAAAAGAACCTTTCCAAAAAGTAAGGTGGAGAGTATCACAGAAGCTATTGTGTCGACTTCATTCATTTACATAGGCGAGCATCCTCCCACGCACATCTGCACAGACACGCATGCACATGCAAGATGTGAATATTCAGCATCTTCTATCTCCAGCCCGAGGGACCCTAGTATGGAACAACCCACATGCCGACTTGCCATGTGGAGGCTGCAATGAACTCTGGTAAATAAATCTAGGAGAAAGAGGCTGGCAGTCCTCTGAGACACCCAACCACAAAGATTGTGGAGTGAGCAAGAGTCTGTGCCTCTTGTCAAAGAACGTTTTAATTACTAAGTCTGTTGGTGGCAGGGCCCCAACCCTTAACTTATCCACAGCCCTGGAGACTGCAGCTGACACTGCTGATTCTTTAGAGTGGGTTCCAAATTACTGTCTGTCAGGGAAGGCAGAACAGTGCAGGTCTGACTTGGATGGGCTAATTATCAAGAGGATGCTGGCAACCCTGGCAGTGAGGTCACTAGGCACTTTCTTTGAACCCTCTTCTTCTTGGAACCAACAACAGACTTGATGGAGCTGTTGGGAAAACAGTCCCAGACTAGAGGAACTTTATTCAGATTAAGGACAACATATTCCACCCAGTTTACAATTCTAAATTCATCCTGTCTGTGTTGCAGCCATTGCTGCGTCCTCCCACCAAACTGACTATAAAAAGACCATCTCCAGATTGGAATGTCAAGAATGCAGATGTCACTGCACTTGACAAGCTCATTGTAACAGTGTTGTCATAGATCTCTGTAAGCGGACAGTGAGAGAGATCCTAGATCAAGGAGAAGCTGGGGCAAGAAATTTACCTGTATCATGGCTTAGACAAAAAGTAAATAACTAGGATCAAAAGTAAAAGATGGACTTGAGTATATGTGGTGATGTCTCTGGGCTTGACCACCTGAATCCAAATGGTGTTCAAAAACTGGCTGGTCTCAACATAGTGGAATCTTAGAGTTGAAAGAGGCCTTAGAAAAGGTCCATGCCAACCTGTGCACTGCCCAGCTGAGGCAGCAGAGGGGTTGGAGTGTAGTAATGGATTTAGAAGAATTTAGATGGTTCCCAGTCTTGTGACTTATATATAAAAACTTTTGAGCTAAGCCAAGATTGGCCTGCTAGCATGATACATGTTGAGACTATGGTGGTTGAATGTTGAGACCTTGAGGTGATTATTGACTTCATTTCCTATGGACGAGGAAATGATCCAGGGAGAGAAAATAACCAGTGCCAAGACTAGAACCCAGATCACCTACTGCCTCCAGATTGTCACTACAACTGTTGTTGAATGACTCAAAATATAGTTCATTTTAGAGGTTGGTTCTATCCTGAAGATCTGAGAAAGCCCCAGAGCAGGTCATGGAATGGTTAGTCTAGAAAATCTCATTATAAAATAGGTATCTTGGTTTCACAGATTCGGTAAGAATTGGGGGTTTGAGGTCCAGGTTCATGAATTTGTTGGCCACTGTGATTCTCCTTTGTGTTACCCTTGTAAGTGGTAGTTGCTCATGGATGTTTACATTCTTGGAATGTCTAGAGCAGGAGTCTGTAAACAGTATCTCCTGGGCACAGGCATTTCAATTTCTGTTTTTTAAAAGTTTTATTGGAATACAGCCAGGCTAATTCGCTTATGTATCTTCTATAACTTCTTGTTGAATGGTGGAACTGAATGGTTATAGCTGGTATGGCTCAAAAAGCCTAAAATTCCCTGCTTGGTCCTTTACTGAAAATGTGTGCCCTTGTCCTAAACTGGCATTATTAGATGTCTGTCAAAGGGTACATTGATGTTTGTGTCCACCTTGGCAAAAATTTTAGTGTAGCATATAACCTGGACAGCTTGTTACTAGGGGTAGTGAGGTAATGATAGCACTTACAGTCTGGAGAAATGAAAATGTCAAGTATTACCTGAAATTTGCAGGACGTTCTGAGCCAACAACATTGTTTTGCATCAAATGTGTTCTAAAGCTTTTTTTTTTTTTTTTCTTTTTTTGTATGTTTCTGAGGGAATTGGAATTCATGGAATTGTGAGGGAATGTTCTAGATTTTAGCCAGTGATCCATGAGCTGTTTGCTGTTTACTTTTAAAATAGGCATAATGGCTGGAGAGATGGCCCAAGAGGGTAAGAGTGCTTGCTGTGCAGGCATGAGGACCTCAGTTTGGATCCAGATATCTATATCAAAAGGTGGATATGGTTGCAGTTTCCAGTAACTCCAGCTCTAAGGAGGCAGAGGCAAGAGGGTCATTGGGGCTTGGTGGCCACCAGCCTAGCTCCAGATTTGGTGTGAAAATAAGGTGAACACAAAAAGTCCTCTGGCTTCCATATACATACACATAGGCATGCACCACACACACACACACACACACACACACACACACACACACACACACACACACACACACACTTTATTTCTTTGAGATGTAGATAAGTTTAAATTTTATTATAATTCAAAATGGTTCCATGAGTAAATTCTATTCCTGTGTGTTGTTGGTAAAACAAGAGTAGGAGGTCCTGCTATTGTGCAGAATTCCTCTTCTCCCAGTATCACTTGGGATGGAGGGAAAGCAGAGGGAACCTGAGATACACATTGCTGCATTCCCGAATCTAATCTTGGCTTACCTTTCACTTGGCAGCAAGGACTTTAAACCAGTAAATGTTGTTTTAAATAATATTTTTGAAGTCTCAATGAAAAGATTTAAAAAACAAGTGGATCCAGTTACACTGCAAATAGGTTCACTAGATTTGTTTTTTAGATAAAATGAAATTCAATATATTTCTAAGTTCTATAAATAATCAGCTTCTCAGGGTTTTTTTTTTCAGCCTAGTTCATAAAATTGTGGTCCTTGTTTATAAATGTTTTTGCACAAAGCCACTTAGGAAGCAAAAAAGCTGTGACTAGGCACCTTTCTTACATTTTTAGGCTGGGGCCAGAGTTCAAGCTACAGCCCAGTGGACAGAAAGGTGAAGTCCATTCTCCTTATCTCCAAACTTGTAGCCAGGCCACTCGTGACCACATGCACATGGAAGGGAGGGAAACAGACCTTAGAAGTAGATCTGATGCTACTTGGGCATGATATTATAGGTTTCTGCATGAGCATGGTCTAAAAGGCAAGCTTACTGAAATCAGGCATACTTTGAGCTCTTTGGGGAATGGAATGGTGGAAGGAGAGTAGAACAGGGCTTCTTCTAAAGTATGGTGGTGATACTAAGCCCCTTTCTTGGGACTGGATCAGCAGTAGGGAAGATGCTATGAATGATAGCGTTTTCTCCCTTTTTGTCTCTTTTGAGCCAACATGGCTGGGACCATCAAAGTTCATCACAGAAATTATATAGGACAGAGGAAAACATTTGAACAAGGATGATGTACTAGGAGGCCAGCTGCAGACAGCCTGAGTTCTGGGAAGCCTGCCTTAGGTGCAACAGAGACAATTGTCCTCCTGTTCCAAGAACTGCATGTAGGAAGCCTCCCTCTCTGTAAGCAAGTTGGTGTTGAGCTGCAGCCAATTCCTGCTGAGCTAGGAACACAAATACCACCCCTGCAGATCTACAGCACATACTAGTAAGGACCAAGGCCCCAGGCAGGAGTTTCTGGAGTGTTCAATCTCAGCCCTTAACAGCATTCCCTTTCTAACATGTAGAAAACTGTAATGCTTGCTTCTGTCCCTGCAGATAACAACACCATCTCAGAACTCAGCTCCCTGCATGATGATGACAACAATTTCCGTCAGTCTTACCACCAGATGCGGAGCAAGCAGTTCCCCATATCCGGGGACTTGGAGAGCAACCCTGATTATTGGTCAGGTGTCATGGGAGGCAACAGTGGGACCAACCGGGGGCCAGCCCTGGAATATAACAAAGAGGACCGAGAGAGCTTCAGGCACAGGTGATGTCCGGCAGTGGGCAGGGTCCACCTTCTGTCCTATATTATTCTCCCACATCTCTGTCTATGGATATAGAATATCTCTTTCATATATATATATATATATATATATATATATATATATATATATCCTTGTGAACTGTGTGAGAAGTAATCATTTAATGCTTTTTGAACTGTGTGACTTAGGCCCCTTAATGAATTCAGACATTGCTTTGTTCATAGTTTTATCCTATGACCTTTAAAGATTCCCACCCATTGTCTCCATTGTCACCCATCCTATTAACATCCTTGTAATTAATCCAGGCACTAAGGAATTTGCCCAGGGTGATAAGCCCAGTCAACCTTTAACAATTTGTGTGACACCTTCCTCCCTAACTGGCACCTTTACCCATCATTTGCCATTGAAGGAGAGTAGACAACATCTTTCTTTTACCCACTGCAGAGGTCTCTTTGACTTCCTGGCTTAATAGGTAACTTGGTCCTTGGCTCTGAGAGAGGAACAGTCCTCTCTATGTCCTCTATGTCATCAAATATTCCTGTCTCCTGGGACCAGAGCCATGTGTTACTATTTGCTGTGGGCTGTTGAGGGTGGGTGAAGTGCGTGGCTGTCAACCAAGGGTCTCATCCTGATCAAAAAGTGATCTGTTTTAGCACTACACAGATCACAAGTATTTTCAAATATAACACTCTAGTCTGATCTATGCTCTTGCGGGACATGCGGTGTGAAAGGTGCCTGGTGACTGACTCATCCTGGCTGGAGGACAGAAACTGGGCCTCTGGAACGCTGTGGGTATCCTGCAAGGTTTCCCTGCAGACATAGTAACCAGTGACCATCTGCCTGCAGCCAGCCGCGCTCCAAATCCGAGATGCTGTCACGGAAGAACTTTGCCACAGGCGTGCCAGCTGTGTCAATGGACGAGTTGGCAGCCTTCGCAGACTCCTACGGCCAGCGGTCGCGACGTGCCAATGGCAACAACCACGAGGCGCGGGCGGGCAGCCGCTTCGAGCGCTCGGAGTCGCGGGCCCATGGCACCTTCTACCAAGATGGTTCGCTGGACGAGTACTACGGGCGCGGGCGGAGTCGCGAACCTCCGGGAGACGGGGAACGCGGCTGGGCTTACAGTCCTGCGCGTCGCCGGCCGCCCGAGGATGCTCCGTTGCCGCGCCTGGTGAGCCGGACCCCGGGCACCGCGCCCAAGTACGACCATTCGTACCTGAGCAGCATGCTGGAGCGTCAGGGGCGAGCCGAGAACACCAGCCGCGGTGGCAGCCTGGAGACACCATCCAAGTTGGGGGCTCAGCTCGGTCCGCGCAGTGCGTCCTACTATGCTTGGTCGCCGCCTGCCACTTACAAGCCGGGGACCAGCGAGGGTGAAGATGATGACGAAGCCGCAGATGATGATGCACTGCCACCCTACAGCGAGCTGGAGCTGAGCCGGGGACCTTCCTACCGCAGCCGCGACCTGCCCTTCCACAGCAACTCAGAAAAGAGGAGGAAAAAGGAGCCCGCCAAGAAAACCGTGAGAGTGCACCCAAAATCCTACGGAACTGGGAGGAGGTTGTGGGGTGCAGGGCGGGAAATACGGTGTTGGAAGCCCAGGAGAGGCACCAAGTCATCAACTTCACTCTATCCAGAATCAGGTAGAGGAAATAAGGGTGGGACCCTCAAGAGACAACAGCAGCAAAAAAACTTATTATTTAAAAGTAGATAATGAGTAGGTTATTGTAGGAAAGACCTTCAAAATTGTCCCCACTGCCCTTTACCTAGGTTTTTGTGGTCTTCTTGCAAAATATCCCATGCATGCTTATGCGGGCATTCTTCTTTCCCAGAGACAAAGGATACCTTTGATAGTGTCTGCAGGGTACCCTAAGTGCCTTGCATATGTGATGGAAGCCTTTTCCTCCACTCGGTTCTCTTGTAAATGGACTTACATAGAGCAGTCTGCACTTCCTTCAGCCCCTGAAAGTGGGCTGTGGACTTCAGAAACATTGGGAAATAGTCACAGTGGGACACCAAAGTACTTCTGATCCCCACCTATCCCTACCCCATACCCCCACCCTCCCCCACCTGCCACTCCCAACACACACACACACACACACACACACACACACACACACACACACACACACACACACACTGTGCTTTGGATATCACTCTCCATGTCCAAGAATTTCTGTTCATCAGGTAACCTGCCTCCTTGGCATTTTGTTTTCTCCATCCTAAGCTGGGCTGCCCTGCCTACCCACCTTCATCTCAAACCCAGGGCTCTGCCTGCCCTAGACAAACATTCTACCACTATCCTCAGCTCAGGGGTCTTTTTTGAGTATGCAATATGGAGAGGACAATGTACAGGAAAAAGGTGTTTGGCATTATTATTAACCCCCAAGAAACTAAGTGTCTTTTGCTGTTCTTGAACTACAGAAATGCCATAACCAAGGCACTATGATCGAGGAAGAAACTTTCAGGTGACTTCAGGTTAATGGTACACCACCCACACCTAGTATTGTAGAGTTCTCACTGTCATTATTCTTCAGACAATGGAAAGTTACTTATTGGCCATGGAACCAAGTTCCGTCTGAGGTATATTGGCTTTGGCATTTTCTGGGCTTTGGAATAACTGTCACATGTCTAACAAAGTTAAGGTGTGCCTGGGTTTGAGCAGGTGCCCCACTCTCCCAGTTAGCCATCAGTTGTGTCTGTTGCTCTATGGGTCAGTGGTTTAATGTGGGGCTCTCTCTGCTTTTCCCTAGAATGACTTTCCAACCAGGATGTCCCTTGTGGTCTGATGGTTTCAAGACACATCTCTGGATCACTAGAAATCAGACACAGACTTCGGGAAGAGACACAAATCTGAGAGCCAGCAAGCCTAGGACCTTCTCTGGCCAGCAACCACCTTGGAAGATTTGCTGATCTCTGCTCTGGCAAGGAATAGGAGGCACCCTGTAAGGAGGCTAATTCCAAATCCTAGTGCTCATCTAGCTTGAGAAACTTACCGAGAAAACAATGATGTGTGAGAATATACCACATAATAACCTTGCCTAACCCCCCCCCATTTCCTTAGCAGAATCAAGACTCTGTGTCCAGTTCTGAAACAGGTAGTTTTGGACCCCTGACTTCTAGAAATTACCTATGCCTGTGGTTGTTTTTCTACAAGTGCTGTTTGTTCTGTGCTTAGAGGCAGAAGAATTTATTATATCATTAGAAGCCCTTCTGCTCACAAAAGAGATAACTTAAAGGTAAAATGTACCTTTTATCCCCATCACTTCCAATCATTGGTCAATGAGTCTTGCTATGCTAAAATCAGAAGGCCTTTGGTGAGCTGAGTGGCAGTGACCTCCTGGGCAATCACTGAAATGACTTCAATTTGCTGCTCTGACTCACAATTCTTAAGTGGCTAGGACAAACAGAGGCTAGTACTTTGAAACTCTGTCTAAGTGGTCTTTCCTTTTCCATTTGGAAGACATTGGCTGCCTTTCATCTTTCTGTTGTGCACGGTGAAATCCAAGCCTTGAACCCCTAAGGCCTCTTTCTCTCCCTCTCCTCCACTGAACTTTTCAGGGGCAGGTGCATCTGAGAATGTCCCACTCCACTCTGCAGGGTGAATAGCTTGTCATCGGGTGCCCTTGACAGTTGTTTAAAACACACACATGAAAGAGGAGGACAAAAGGAGAAGGCAGTGACGCCAGATAGAAACTGGGAAAGCATCTGAGAAAAATAACATATAGTTCCATTATGTCTTGACTGTGGGTTGTTTTCCCACAAACACTCAGTTTTTTTAATTTGTACTACATTTAAAGATTATTTCTGCCATCCTGATTCTGCCACTGCAGGGCACCAGGGATATGGTGTCCCCTTCCCTTGGCCTCACTGGTCTGCCACCATAGATGCTTTGGAGATAAGAAGGACACTGATTTCTCGGCACAAAGCACTTCCTCTTCCTACCCTTGCAAAAATAATTGGTTTTGCCTAAATCCCAAATTGAGAAGGCTCTGGACTTTGTAATGTGGGTAAACTGCCAAAGTGGCCACGAGTTCTTCCCTTCTCAAGTTCCTGTGCATGGAGTTTGTCCTTTCTTGCTGCTCACTGACCCTATCAAATGTACCTGAACTATCTATCCTAAATGGTGAGAGTAGAGCCTGGCCACTATTGTCAACTCAGCAGACACAGAAGAGCATCTAGCCACAACCAACAAAAGAACTGCCTAGCTGAGCCGAGCCCAAACTGGGGGTTCCCCCTTGAGAGAAGTTTGGTACTCCTATGTGTCCATTTATCATCAAGGATAAACCTCTCTCTTGTCAGAACTCACCCAACCTTAGGTGTCTTACAGCCTTCACTTTCTTTGACAGACTTTGCAGTCTGCCTTATTGTGGCAAGATATAATTGGGTGAAATGACTGAAGGAAGATGATGCTTGCCACCCCATAGTCCAGTGGTAGTCTATTCTCTACTTACTGATCTATGTGTAGCCTCTGAAGAAGGTTGACCAGAATTTCCAGGGTCACTTGACTGGAATTCCGGAGTCTGTTCTACTAGCATCCATTGTTCTTCATGACATTTCCAAAACTGTCCCATTGTCTCATGTGTGTAATGTAGGAAGCTGCTGGGTGAAGGTTGGAGGGATACGCTAATATCATTGCCTGAAGAAGAACTGGCCTGCCAAAGGATGTCACAGTTGCTTCGGCCTGCCCTTAGATGGAACAGGAAGATACTTCAGACCAGTGCTGGCACTTCCAAGGGCTGGAAGAAGAAGCCATAACCCTGGTGCTGAGTTTTAAACTTGCTAGTGTCCCTGGCCTCAGAAAGCCTAGGTCTGGTCTGTCTGTTTGGACTGTAAAACAATATGACAGAAACATCATTTCTTAATCACCAGCTTTTGATTTCAACTTGCTCAGGCCTTTTGAAGAATATTTGGTAGCTGCTGTAGCTATTGTTATACTGAGCACTGTGTCAGGCTTCTTACCACCAAAGAGCCCCATAGCACAGGCTACAGAGACCAAATATATTGCTTTGTAAAGCCAGAGGCATGTATGAGCTTGGTGAAAACTGAGGGGAACATGAAGTTCCAAAGGCAACAAGACTATAGGATGACAATTTAAAAAAAAAAAAAAGTCAAATCAAAGATGATAACAGGCTTTTGAAATAAGTGGGGAGCAAGGGCACAGGTTGCTCTTTGTGGGTTTGCATGAATCATTTGGGCTTCCAGGCCTTCAGTTGAGAGAGAAAGCAGTTGTTTCTGGGTATGTGGATAGGAGATAATGCTGAATGGAGAAGCAAATCTGGCTGTCCTCTGTGCCCTTGACTTTTCTTTACACATCTCTTAGGTTTTTTCTCCAAATAGTGTATCCTGCATAGGAAGTGCCTATATATATATTGGTTCTTTTTCTGTCTTTCTAGGGCATAAAGCAAGTCTGGTATAAGATGCAATCTCCATCCACTTGAGTCCCTACAATTTAATAAGGAAGCTAAGACATGCCCAAGAAAGGATAGGATATTTTATGCATATGATAGGAAATAGTGCTATGGAAAAAATTATAATAAACCCAGAGATTTAAATTTTTTAAAAACTTAAATGGGAATATTTTGATATTTAAGTGTTGTATTTGTCTATCCATCCCAGTTTTGGGGGGACATACTCAGTGATCTGCAAAGCCAGGCTGTAAATATCTAAACTGAAAAGAGGTGAAGGAGAATGGAGAGGGAGAATGGCAAGGGCCCTGGAGGGCTGGTGCTAGGGCTCCTGTCTTTGCCTATGAGTCACAGCTGAGTCAGGCCCAGGCTGGAGGAGGGCGTGTGGAAGCAGGTGGCGGGAGGTGTCGTGATGCACTCTGAGTTCTTCTCTAGGCCATGTATCGACTCATTAGGAGACTGAGGACAGTTTTTCCATCCAAGCCAAGCCCAAAGGGAGCTCAGCATCTGGTTCTCCAGGCCCTCCTATCTACAGCTGGAGGTGCAGTACTTTCACAAATGCAAGAAGTCTCACACGGGCCTGGCATCTTGCCTCACTTCTTAAGATTCCCACTTTGTGCTTGGTGTGGGGCTAGGCACACCAGGATGAGCAGGGGCTGGCACTAAATATAAAATCTGGTTAGATCCTAAGCAGTCTTTGTGAGGAATGAGGCAACCAATGATGCTTTAGTTTATTCACACCCTATCCCTTTTCAAATAGACAGATAAACCATCACTCCCATAAATGAACTCACAAACCTGTTCAACCTTTAGATTCCCAATCTTTAGGTTTTTCCTGCTGGACCTGTGTTCCTCAAAATTATCTGGCTATAAGAATTACTTGAATTAGCAGAGAACTCGAGTTTGGTTCCCAGCACCTTCATGACGGCTCCCAGCTGTCTGTAACCCCAATTCCAGGGGACCAAATGATCTCTTAGAGCATCTGGGAGCACTATATTCACATGGTGCATGTACATGTAGGCAAAATACTTGCAACATAAAAATAAATACATTCTTAAAAATTAAGAAAGGGGGCTGGAGAGATGAATCTGTGGTTAAGAGTACTGGCTGCTCTTCCAGAGGACCCACATTCATTTCCCAGCACCTGGTGCCTCCCAGCTCCAGTTCTAGGGGATCCAATACCCTCTTCTGGTTTCCACAGGTACTGCACACACATGGTGCACACAGACACATGCAGGTAAAATACACCCATAAAAAAGAAGTAAAGCATTTAAAAATACTTGGTAAAATAATGACTTGCCTGGAGAGCTGGGAATGTGATCATAGTTGGTAGTACTTACTTAGTATGCATGAAGCCAGGGTTCAATACCCAACACTATGAACTAGGAGCAGCAATGCATGTCTGTAATCCCAACAGTTGGGAGATAGAGGCAGGAGGTTAGAAATTCAAGGTTATCCTTGGCTACATAGTGAGTTCAAGGCCAGCCTGGGCCACATAGTACTTAAAGAACCAAACAATAATAAATAAAAACAAACAAACAAAAAACACAAAGATGACTTCACTGCCACTGTCAAAAACTGTTGTAGGGCTATGCTTTGGAGGATGGATGGGTGGATCTGGAGTAAAGATTTGTACTCTGAACATGTACTTTCTGAGAGCCTTGTAATAGATGCCTTTGGGTAATATTATCCTGAATCGTACCTCAGCTGCGCCTCTAACTCCTGGCTGTAAGTTTTGTTTGGGCTGTGATATTTTCAAATATTAAGGTGAGGTTCCTCTGACTCCCTTGGGACTGGCACTGATAAGGCACCCAGCAGTCTGGCTATGACAATGGAGACTGGCTCACCACAGTCCAGCAGGGAGAGAGTTGGAAGCCCTCCCCAGGAATCTGCTTGAAAAGTTCCAACCCCCACAATAGTGATCTGTTGTGACAGGCTCAGATCAGACAACAGGAATTACAGGTAATTTTCTTATTCCCTTGATGCCATCCTGAATAAAACTTGGATCCTGAATAGAAAGAAAGGAAACATCAGGGAAAATGGCAAATGTAAATCATTTTTAAAAGGTACAAATTAACAGCCTCCCTAATAACATAATTTTCATGTTAGGATCAAAAGCGGGATGGAGAAAAATAATAAAATATACAACAGTACCCCTTCCAAAGTCAGGCTTAATTGTTGCCAGAATCTTATGGGAGTTTAGAAGTGATGTGTAGAGTTTAGAAACCATCCAAGGTCCTAGAAGCAAAATAGTGCCTAGTTTTCCTTGCCAGGACCCTACTTCCCTAAAGTAGGGAGAAGTTGAGTTGCTTCAAGCAACTGAGGTTAGCACCGAGGTTGGTTTTTAATGCTATGTGCATTACTTTTATGATACATTGCAGTTTACAGACCACTTCCACAAGCATTCTCATTTGTTCATCACAGAGAGCCCTGTGATAGAGGCAGGGCAAGTGTTCCCCATTGTTCAAAATGTGGAGCTGAAGCTGGCTATGCCAAGTGACTCTCCTATTGACTAATAAAGGCTTTTAGACTCTTTAGATGGCCTTCTGACTGTCTAGGGTTCTTCCTAACAAGTATAGTACTTGCAACCCGATGTGTGGTGAGGAGAGTCCTGGATTCAGTGGTGAAGAGGAGCCATGATGACAGGCATTTGCCACTTCATATATGGGCATGCTGCTCCTAGAAGTCTGCCCTGATGGGGGGAGGCATCTTTGCTGGGAGAGTTTCATGCTGAGCACCGTGCTTTAATGGGGATAAGGCTCTGATGAATTTCTAAGCCAAG